CCAGTTTTTCTGGAACTGACCCAGCCTCATCATCCCGCAGCTCTTCCCTCTTTAACTCGGAAACCGTGCCTCGGTGGGATCCACTCAAACTGAGAAACTCGCGCCATGGGGTGTGCTCGGCAGAGCAACCCCAGTTTACTGCCATGACCTTGGGGTTCATTTTTAGGATTGTATGTATCAAGTTCTAAGGAATGGCTTCCACTCAAAGCAGTTCATTGTTATTTACAAGACAAAGAGTCAGTGGGGACACATTCCCACATCTGCCAGCTCAAAGGCATCTCGTTTTCCTATCATTTCTGAAAGAGCGTAAATCCATGGTCTTGGGGGAATTTTGTTGAATTTATAGCAGAGATGGAAGCGTGGGGCTTCTTTTGTTGAATTTTGTTTTTCTTCTTGGAGATGATTAAGTCATGTATAAAATTGATGATAGCAGCTTTTTTAAAGCGTGCTTCCCTATATTTTTTGGAGGCACAAAGAACCAGAAGAAAAGGATCATTCGCTACTTAGAACTATACTGAGTCTAAGTGACCCCAAAATAAACCCCTGGGTAGTCCCTAAATATTAGCTGCCCATCTCCGAGGCCCCATCCACTCGTGCGTTTGCATAGGCTGCACCCAGTTTTGTTTCTCAGAAACTACCCCATCAGAAAGAGAGGCTAGAGATGTTTAATTTGTTTAGGCGCTGATGATTAGAAAATTTACTCTCATACCTGAGGTTCTACAACCTTTCTGTGCCTATGAATCATCTGGAGATCTTGTTAAAATGCAGATTCGAAATCAGGAGGGCTGGGTGAGGCCTGAGATCCTGCGTTTCTAGAGCGGCTGGGGGCCGTGGGGGTGGGGGGTTGGGACTGGCATTGCTGGTCTAAGGACAGCACTTTGGAGAGCTAGGCTTTACGCCCCTGAGCTAAGTCATAAAATACTGAGAGAGATAAAAATGTAGACATAAAGACACTTAAGATGAGTGCATTCAGAACTGAAAGTCTCAGGCAAACCATCTGTAAGTTTGCCTTGATTCACCCGGTATCTTCTTAATGATAATGTTTGCACAATGGGTCTGCCTATGTGGTTCTTTGGCAGCTTAGCATCTGTAAAGTAGCGTGTGGCCCCATGTTTGGAAGAAATCCTTCTGTTGTGCATCCAGAAGTGAGCATTCCAGGGGTCCGGGTGAGCCATGGGTGTGTCTCAGCCCCAAGAAGGTAAATTAGGGACGCCATTAGGTGTCCATTAGGAAGTTAGGAAATGAGGAAGCCATTTGTCTACAGCTAGAAAGAGACCGTGAAAACAAAACTCCTACTCTCCTTTTTTCTTCTTCTCTTTTTTTGTATCTCTTTTCCTCTCCCTTCCTTTTCCCCCTTACGTGCTCTTCCACCTTCAAAATACACCTCCATTCTTTCAGTGCCGTGAATAACCAATCCCACAGCCTTCCAGGGACTTGGTGGCAAACTGTGGCGCCCTCTGGTGGTGCTCTGAAAATACAGCGACTCAATCCCTCCCCTCAACAGTGCTTCTCCCTCATGGGAGATTGAAATAGTACAGAGCCGGTGAGCATAGAGAAAGGACACATGACCCCAGAATTAGAGAGCCCCTGTCTCCTCCAAGCTGCACTGGTAAGTGGTCCTTCTACATGGAACGGGAGGATAGATTGGACTTTTTATCAGTCTGGCCCTAGGTGTTCCAGCGCCCGTGTTTATCTCTGGATCCTGGATTTATCCTTAGTATTTTCTGGAAAAGACGTTCATCAATGGGTGGATTTTCAGAAGAATACATTTGAATCTGTGCATTAAGGCCAATATGTCTTAGTGGTCCATTAGCAGAAGACCAGCCCTGGAGGCTCTACAGAGACCTTGAGGGCTAGCTAAGCCAGTGTGTCTCAAATAAGCACTATAAATAAACCAGGGCACTACTGAGAACCAAGTCAGCATTCCTTTTCAGATTCACTAAAGCTGGGTTCCTTAAAAAGTACCTTCAGAGGGGTTTTCTCGTTTTGTATATTGTGCATTTGGTTGTACAAGCAATTTTACATTTGCATTGCTAATGGACCTCTTCTGAATGTGTTTGACATTTTGCTTGGCTTTGAAAGGACTTTTATGCTGCTGCTTTTTCTTGCCTCGAGCTGCCTTGGGCTAATTAACCTATTCCCTTACTGGCTGGGCCTACTATATGCAAATGTTCTCATTTTGGATTCTGACATATCCCTCTTGGATGACCATCCCTAATGAAATCCTGTGGGGTTTTATTGGAGCAGTGCTGACGTGGAACCAGCAGGGGGCGCAGGGAATGGTTTGTTTTGAGCAGATCTCCTAAATGACTTGTCTTTGCTAGTTGGTCTGGGAATGTGGGAGCTTATACAATTGTTTCTTAAGTGACTCTTGAAATCTAAAGATAAAAGATCATTGTCAGTACATTTTAAGCAGCCAGAAGGGGCCACTGATTTTTACAATTCTGTAGTTTAATTTTGTTCTGTCATTATTTTGAAAATAGCACTGGGGCGCCTGGGTGGCTCAGTTGGTTAAGCCTCTGACTCTTGATTTCAGCTCGGGTCAGGATCTCAGGGTGGTGAGATGGAGCCCCGTGGCAGGCTCCGCCCTCAGTGGGGAGTCTGCTTGAGGCTTCTCTCTCCTTCTCCTCTGCCCGTCACCCTGCTCATGCACGCGTGCACTCTCCCTCTCTCTCTAAAATATATAAAAAAGTCTTTAAAAAATAGTACTTACCACTATACAAAAAAAAAAAAAAGAGAGAGAGAGAGAGAGAGAGAAAATAGCACTGTCATCCTGATTGATTTGCAAATACTGCGTGTAAATTATGTGCTGCACTGTTTATAAAAGAAGGCTGCACAGAACAGTTATTTTGGACTTCTAAAAGCCCTAGCTCGGGAGGGCAAATAATTGACATTACCCTTTCAACACAGTTATTTCTCCAGCATTAACATCCTAGATCTCTTCCCTTTTTTTGTTTCCATTCCAATCTTTATTTTTTTAATATTTTAATTATTTATTTGAGACGAAGATGGAAAAAGAGAGAGCACGAGTGGTGGGGAGGAGACAGAGGGAGAAGCAGACTTCCCACTGAGCAGGGAGCCCAATGTGGGACTCGATCCCAGGACCCCAGGATCATGACCTGAGCGGAAGGCAGACTGAGCAAGCCAGGTGCCCCTCCATCCCAGTCTCTAAAGTGCCTCTCTTGTCCCCTGACAAATCCTGTTGGTATTGAAATGAGCTTTGACATTGAGAAGCCAGATTTATATACTTCCGCCTCATCTATACCTGGGTCACAACCGTTAAGGATGGGGACTTCCTTTGGTGCCATCTCCCCTTTCGTGGTGATGTTTCGTGATGATGCTGGAGCAAGAGCAGCAAGGACCACTAAATCACGGACCAAAACAAAAGTTGCAGACTAGGGTGGGGGAGTGGAGCTCCCCGGGAGAGATGGGGGAGAAGTTGGTGCAGGCAGAGGAGAGGAAAGAGACCATGTTACAGTAGGGATGTCACCATTGCTTGGGTGTTGACAAAGATCAGGTACCACAACAAGCTACCTTGTTGTGTTTGCTTTAAAATCAGATTGTAAAAATAGAGCATCTGGGTAGGAGAGATGCTAAAACCCCCCAGGGCCTGGAATTCCCAAAGCCTAATGCCCATGCCACGGCTTCCCAGGATCCCAGCACATAGGGGTGGTCCTGTCTGCAGCTGTTCCTAGAGGGGGCACTCACACCTGCTGCTGGCTAGCCCTCTTGGTGCCATGGACGCCAGTGGCATCCATGTGCAGTGGTCGCTGAGAGACTGAGATGTGTGTCCATAACACTTGGCTCCTGGGCCACTATTGATTTATAGATCAGGGTTAAGCCCCTGGGTCTGATTGATCTGAAAGAGGTTTCATTTCTAGGGTTAATGGTGGGTTGGCCCTTTCCAAGGAGAAGGAGAGGGGGGTCAGTGTGAAGAGAAAACTTAGAGACTACCTGGAAATAAATAAATAAAGGAAGGAAGGAAGAAAGGATGGATGTGAAAGACCCTTCAATCCATCCACCCTCTTAGTGCGTTCTTAGCCTTGTTTTTAACCATAACCATATTCAGTTTTTAACTGTCTCGCAGATTTCTTTTGGCTTTCTGTTACCATATGAGTAGCTGTACTGGGAATTCTTTGGAAACTTGTAGAGCACAAGATTATTTTTGGCTCCCTCTGCTGAGTTGGCATGTGTACTGTGTGTGTGTGTGTGTGTGTGTGTGTGTGTGTCGGGGAACAGGGAATGGTTGTGGATCGAGTATGGACCCAGAGTCAGGCAGATCCTTTAGCTCCTACTGGAGCTACTACTCAGAACCTAGAGTAGTAGCTCCAGTAGATGAGCCTTCAGATCTTATGCCCGGAGACCGCTCGGGACCCCCACTCCTCACTGCTCCTTCCCAGAACCTGCATAGGAGGCTGAATCTCCCTGATGTCACCCTCCCTGTGGGCTTCATTTGATTTTCCGGCAAAGGAACGAAGAGGTGAGGAAGGGACCAGTGTTTCTGAAAAGGAAATTTAAGAAATAAATCATCTACCCTCTAAGAAAAAAATTTTAAAAAGGGAGAGAGGGTATGTTGAGAAACAGGTCTTAGGAAATGCAGACAGTCTTAGGGGAGTTGTTAACGCCATAAAAAGGAATCTGCTGTGGGGCACCTGGCTGACTAGGTCAGTTCAGCATCTGACTCTTGATTTCAGGGTTGAGAGTTCAAGCCCGGTGTTGGTCTCCACGCTGGGCTAAAGCCTACTTTTTAAAAAATTAAAAAATTAAGAAGCATCTGCTTTAAGGTTTTGTCTCCCCCGGGATGTTCCTCATCGTCCTGACCTGCTGTCTAGCACAGGGAGTGTTTTATATGCTTTCAGGTTGGGGCTCTCATCAGGTTTGGGGAATTCATTATGAAGGCGGAGGCCTAGTCTCAGTCTGATATTTTGATTTCCTTTTCCCTCTTCCTTTCCTCCTGCCTTGTCTCTTCCCCCTGTCCCCACCCTCTTCCTTTTTCCCAGATTCCAGAGCTGCTGCGGGCCGATCGCACCCACGGGGAGATGATTCCTCATGAAGAGCCTGGATCCCCTACAGAAATCAAATGTGACTTTCCATGTATCAGACTAAAACCAGAGCCAGCCAGACAGTGAAACAGTCACCGTGGAGGGGGGACGGCGAAAAATGAAATCCAACCAAGAGCGGAGCAACGAATGCCTGCCTCCCAAGAAGCGCGAGATCCCCGCCACCAGCCGGCCTTCCGAGGAGAAGGCCGTCCCGCCGCCGAGCGACAACCACCGGGCGGAGGCCGTGGCATGGCTCCCGGGCAACCCCGGGGGCCGCGCCCACGGGGGCGGAAGGCACGGCCCGGCAGGGACTTCCGCGGAGCTGGGTTTACAACAGGGAATAGGTTTACACAAAGCGCTGTCCACGGGGCTGGACTACTCCCCGCCCAGCGCGCCCAGGTCTGTCCCGGCGACCAGCACGCTGCCCGCGGCGTACCCTCCCCCGCAGTCGGGGACGCCCGTGTCCCCCGTGCAGTACGCCCACCTGCCACACACCTTCCAGTTCATCGGGTCCTCCCAGTACAGTGGGCCCTACACCGGGTTCATCCCTTCACAGCTGATCTCCCCGACGGCCAGCCCCGTCACCAGTGCTGTGGCCTCTGCGGCGGGGGCCACCACTCCATCCCAGCGCTCCCAGCTGGAGGCCTATTCCACTCTGCTGGCCAACATGGGCAGTCTGAGCCAAGCCTCAGGACACAAGGCTGAGCAGCAGCAGCAGCAGCACCTGGGCAGGACGCCGGGACTCATCACCCCGGGGTCCCCTCCACCCACCCAGCAGAACCAGTACGTCCACATCTCCAGCTCTCCGCAGAGCGCCGGGCGCACGGCCTCTCCTCCGGCCATCCCCGTCCACCTCCACCCGCACCAGACGATGATCCCACACACGCTCACCCTGGGGCCCTCTCCCCAGGTCGTAGTGCAATACACCGACTCCGGCAGCCACTTCGTGCCCCGCGAGGCCGCCAAGAAAGCCGAGAGCGGCCGGCTGCAGCAGGCCATGCAGGCCAAGGAGCTCCTGAATGGGGAGGTGGAGAAGGGCCGGAGGTACGGGGCCCCCAGCTCGGCCGACCTGGGGCTGGTGAAGGCCAGCAAGACCCTTCCTCACCCATACGAGTCCAGGCACGTGGTGGTCCACCCCAGCACCGCCGACTACGGCGGCCGGGACTCCTCGGGGGTCCGGGCCTCTGTGATGGTCCTGCCCACCAGCAACACCCCCGCCACCGACCTAGAGGTGCAGCAGGTCGCTCACCGGGAGGCTTCCCCCTCCACCCTCAACGACAAAAGCGGCCTGCACCTGGGGAAGCCTGCGCACCGGTCCTACGCGCTGTCCCCGCAACAGGCTCTGGGCCCCGAAGGCGTGAAGGCGGCCGCCGTGGCCACGCTGTCCCCCCACACGGTCATCCAGACCCCGCACAGCGCTTCAGAGCCCCTCCCGGTGGGACTGCCAGCCACCGCCTTCTACGCGGGGACGCAGGCGCCGGTCATCGGCTACCTGAGCGGCCAGCAGCAAGCGATCACGTACGCCGGCAGCCTGCCCCAACACCTGGTGATCCCCGGCACACAGCCGCTGCTCATCCCGGTGGGCAGCGCAGACGTGGAGGGCTCGGGAGCGGCCCCCGCGATAGCCACGTCGTCGCCCCAGTTTGCGGCCATGCCTCACACGTTCGTCACCACCACCCTTCCCAAGAGCGAGAACTTCAGCCCGGAGGCCTTGGTCACGCAGGCCGCCTACCCCGCCATGGTGCAGGCCCAGATCCACCTGCCCGTGGTGCAGTCGGTGGCGTCCCCCGCTGCGGCACCCCCCACGCTGCCCCCCTACTTCATGAAAGGCTCCATCATCCAGCTGGCCAACGGGGAGCTGAAGAAGGTGGAGGACCTAAAGACGGAAGACTTCATCCAGAGCGCGGAGATCAGCAGCGATCTCAAGATCGACTCCAGCACGGTGGAGAGGATCGAGGACAGCCACCACCCCGGCGTCGCTGTGATCCAGTTTGCTGTTGGGGAGCACCGAGCACAGGTAACGCTCATCCACCCCTCCCTCGCCTGGGTAGGGGCACCCACCATGCCACCATCACCTTCTCCTGGCCGGAGTGTCTTCTAAAATGCAGACCCAAATGAGCTATGGGCAGAATTCAGGGTTTTATACCCAGACTGTAAACCCATCCTCTTTCCCAGCCGGGTTCTGTGAGAGGGGGTTAACCCCAATGCCCCAAGGCATCCGCTGTTTGTAATGAGTTCACTTCCCTGCTCCTGTAGACTGAAGCTGGTAAGGGACCATCCTCCATAGGAGTCAGAAAATCACTACTCAAGACATATATATATATATATATATATATATATATATATATATATATTCTATGGTTTAAAATAATTCTAATAATTCTGTGGTATAGAATATTCTATATTTCATTCTATGGTTTAGATGAGGAACCCTGATGGAGAAACGCTGCAGGGCTCAGGGCCCTTCTTGGGGTCATTGTGCCATTTTTACCTGTCAGGAAAAAGACAGTGCTGGTCATGTGGGGACATTAAATGGAACAGTCACCATGTCCCATTCCAACATCTGTGTTTCAAAATGTAGATGCTGTTATCATTTAGGGGTTGTAAGGCCCACCGAGGAGAACACAGCTGCCATTGAAAAGGTAGCCTTTTATACTCAGATCCCAAAAAGACGGGGCGTACCAAGCAGGGCCGCACGGGGAAGCACCGGGGTCACTCAGGAGACAGAGGAAACCAGGAGGGAACATGGCCAGGAGCCTATATGGTGGTTTCCAGGGAAGGACTGAGCGACCTGGGGTAATCAGGCTGAGGATTGACTGTCATGAGCAATTTCCCGGGAGCTCTGGGGACCTAGGGGCTGCCCCTGGGTGTCTGGTACCTGGGCATGGGGTGATGAGGGCAGATGGATAGTGGCCCAGAGGTGATAGTCCAGTGGAGGAGAGGGGCTGGGTGTTTGGTGTGCGCGTGATGCTAGCCCCAAAAAGGGCAGTCCCTCCAGTCAGCACGGCTCCAAGATGTCAAAGCATCAGAATTTAGAAAATCAAGGGCATGGTCAACATCTGGACATCCCAGGTGATCTCCTGCACATGTAGTAAATAGGAACCCCAAAGGGTAAGATGGAGTCAAGGTCAGTTATGTTAAAGCCTGGAAGTATTATTAACTCTGTTAATTTCCATGATCTCCCTCGGTCCTCTCTTTTACAGTCTGTTAAATCACTTGAATACCTCTATTCCCCAGCTCCTTTGTAGAAAACAGCACTTTCCCCGTCCAGGTGGCTTGGAGACAAACAGGTTTGGCCTTCCCGGCTGTCAGGCCCCGAATTCTGCTGTCCTGGGAATGTTTGCATGGAGGACTTCGAAAAACCCCCAAGTGACGGCACCTCCTTCAGCTTTGAGTTGAGAACGGTCAGGCTGTAGGTGATGTTTGGAAAAACAAAACAGAAGAAAAACCAGTTAATGGTTTGAACTGTTTGAGTATATTTTTAAGAGATCAAGTTGCAGGGAAGGGGGGATTTCGCAGCTTTTTCCAGAAGTGCTTGTGAGTGACCAGATGTGGGGTCTTACACAATGTCAGAGGGCCAGCACTGCCAAGAGCTCTTGGCCTCCAAAGATGTCTTTTTTTCTGGTGCAGGGTCACCATAGGCTTACAGTCTTCGGTAAGATCCAAGAAAGATTTCTCAAAGTTCAGATTTAAAAAAAAAAAAAAGCAAAAATCCAGATTTTTTTTCCTAAGTGACATCTTTATTTCAAACTCCCTGCCCGTCCGTAGGGGCCACTCACTCCCGCCTGCCTGCATGGGTTGGAGGTGGGCACGGGGAGAAGGAAAACGAGTTGTCTTCAGCAGAGCTGTCTCCTAACAGACTCCAGGTGAGGCATGGAAAATGAACAAGAAAGAAAGTACATTTTTTTCGCGGCACCTTCAGCCCTTCAAGCGGTGCTGTGACCGGGGAGCAGGCTCAGGAAGAGGGGTCAGTTTGGAGAGCTGCTGGTTCCTTACCCACGCACCTCCTTTCATCCTGAGAATCAAGAACAACTCTGGCTGTGGGCAACGTCTCCAAGACCCTGGCAGCCTCGTGGATGTGAGCTTCCCAGGCCCTTGGAGGTGGCAGACGGACCCAGCATTCTGGAAAGCAGGCAGCTCCCTGTGCCTGAATGATAAAGCCCTCGGCTTCCCCAGGAAGTCTCATTTCCTTCCGGCAGCCAGACCATGAGTCTCTGCCGACAACCAAGGTGCAAATTAGAAGGTAGAATCTTTGTCGCGGCCCGTTCGTAGGTCTGTCAGGGCGGCCCCGCATGGGGGTCCTGCATGCTGGGGACGGCTGCCGCCTGCTGAAAAGGTGGCTTGGGTTTTGAGCTAGAGAGACAAAAAGTACAAGGCCCCGACGCGGCCAACGATTTGTCGCTTTCCCCAGAAGCCTATCAGAAACAGGCTGACATCATCACAGCTCCGATACTCCACCAGCTGTGGTCGCCACGAGTGACAGGATGAGGATGAGGGGAGAATCAGAGAGGAAGCGAGGGGGGGGGGGAGGAGGAGGAAGGGAGCCAGGGAGCTGGTATCTGGATTTAATTTATGTTCCCAGCCCAGGGTTGCGGGGTTGCCTCCCTCGCCGGTGTGGTGCGGAGAAGTTTTCTACTCTAGACTGGAAAATCAGCCATGTCTTCTCAACTCGTTAGAAATCACTGACACTCACACCCACGGGGAGATTTAGGGATGTGCCAATTGTTTCAGTTAATTAGCAAAATCACAAAATTGTTGGGGGGAGTGGTGGGAGAAGGGATGGTTTCTGACACGAGAGCTGGATGGCTTTGTGACTCCAGGCTTGGGATTCCCGCGTGGAAGGAGAGCCACAGGGATGTGTGTGACCTCAGGAAACCCACCCCATCCCTGTGGGACGCAGCATGGCCCAGGGAGGGTAAGACCACCAGCCTGGGCTCTGGCTGGCTACAAGACAGGTCATTTTTTCCTCCCAGTTGCCGTTTTTCTCAACCCTGAAACAGGCGAATGATTCCTTATACCAGATCTATCGCAGCCCCCCTCCATTTTTGGAGTCCCAGGCTTCTCTGCCTCGCAGAACAGAGCTTGTAGAAACCACCAGCATTCGCTAACCAAAAACCGAAGTGTAAAACGGAGGGGGTTTTCGTTTCGGTGACTATTTTAAGGAGCTGAACTCCTCATTGTTATTGTGGAAAGACGCCTCCGGTGTGTCTTCAGCTGGAGCTCCGGAGGAGACTGTGGGAGAAAAGCGCTGTCGCAGAGCCGTCCCCATCCCCGTGGCGTGGCCGTTCCTGCTGCAGTGTTCTTCTGAACAGGGGAGGTCTCTGCACCCAGCCCCCCAGCCCGCAGCTGTGGGCGAGTGAAGAATTCCAGGTGTGATCGATTTCCACCAAATGCGCCACTGGACCCCTTCTTCTGGCCACGATGCATCTCCGTCTTCTTTTGCTGTAGGGGCAGGGAGCACCGTCCACCTGGGTGGAAGCCAGGGAAGCCTACCTCCCTGCTTCCCGAATGCTCAGTGATTCCAGCTTAAAGCCCTGATGGACCACAGAATCCCTTCCTTGGGGCCTCACTCCCAAGTATAATTCGATGGATTTTCTTCTCCCAACTGTACAGATTGGGTCTGTGAATCTGTAGCAAGTCTAGTGGGAGCCAGTGGGACTCAGTGAGAGGACAGGGCATCCTCTGTGCTGGAGTGAGCAGCAAGTGAGCTGGTGAAGAAAATGCAGGACTTGGAGTTAAAATACCTAAGTCAGGATCTCTCTCCCACCCCTCCCGAGCACTGGAACCTTGTGCAAATTGTGTGCAAATTAGTGCACACAATTGTATTGATTGCACAAACTACCTCAGCCTTCCAGTCCTCTGACATAGTGGAAAGAATGAGGGTTGTTGTAAGGATTGAAGAAAATGTGTCCGGAGGAACCGGAGCAGTTAGTATGTAGCATCTGTAAGCCCCTGACAGCATCAGTGACCTTCCCTGCTTCCATTTAGGTGGCTTTGGCCCTGCGAAGAGAAAGGTTAGGGGCGTCTGGGCAACGTAGTCAGTTAAGCGGTGCACTCTTGGTTTTGGCTCATGTCAGGCTCTCAGGGTCATGAGATCGAGCCCCGCATCTGGTTCCCCGCTCAGCACGGCGTCCGCTTGAGTCTCTATCCCTCTGCCCTTCCCATTTGTGCTCTCACTCTCTCTAACATAAGTAAATCTTTAAAAAGAGAGAGCGAGAAATGTTAGGTTCTGAAAAAATAAATAGAAGGCTTCATGGTCTAAAAAAGAATTTATGAAAGGAGAGGCGGTCTAGAAAAGTCCAGAAAAAAGGCTGGAGTTCCAGAGCACCCACACCACTATTTCTTCAGGAAGGGCTAAACGCCCTCCTGTTCGCCAGTTGTACAGACACCTGCCGTATCTCTTGGAGTGTGTGCTGGCCTGGAGGAGTGCATTGGCGGCCCTGCCATCCACGTCAGTAAGAGCCCCCAAAATAGAGATTCCACGCGCCTTTCTTCTGCCAGGCGCCCCCTGGGCAAGCCTCTGCCCAGGATGCCACCCCCTCCACTTCCAGCCAGCAAACACACACCACCTGTGAGCAGCCTCCCCATCCCTCTGTCTCCTGCTCCCCAGGCTCAGCTTTGCTCAGGAGTATGCAAAACTTGCTCAGTAGCATGGTAGTAAATTTTATTTGCAAAGTGCTCTGGGGTGACACTTTCCTTGTGCTGTGACTTTCCTCACTGGCGAGCTGCTGTCTCTCCCTTCCCAGATCCTCCCAAGGTGACTGCTTCCCTTTACCTCCTTGGAGGTTGGTTAATATTCGGTGCCATTTACCTTTTGTAGCTGGGGGGGGTGCGGTGGGGGAGGGTGCATGTGTGTGCCTGTGTGCGTGCGTGTGTGCAGACACGCTAGTACCGTGTATTACAATGATGTGCTTCCTGCACGTCGGGCGACGGCTTTCCTTTCATGCCTCTCTTTCTAATTCGACTGCTGGGTTCTGTGACTCATCAGTGGCAGTGTTATGCTTTAATGGATTAGCT